AAAGATAATGAGCATAGTTGGTTTTTTTTCCTAGACTGGGAATATTTTGTTTCTCTGTAAAAATAGCAAATTTAGTAAACACAATATGAAAACATTACATAAAGAAATATTGAATGCACAGGGAGGGTGAAGAGAACAAGTGTAAGGTCCTTTCAGCACAGGTGCCAACTTTTGAAAGTGCCACGGGGTGCTTGGCCTCCACCTCCGCCTCCACTCCAACCCTTCTCCGCCTCTTCCCATCCCTGCTCCACCACCCTACCTCTTCCCACCCAGTTCTGCCTCCTCCCCTGAGCACACCGCGTCCTTGCTCCTTTCCCTTCCCCCCCCCCCAGAGCCTCCTGCCTGCACACCCTGAAACAGCAGATTATGGTGGGAGGGAGTTGATCCACGGGGCCCGCCAGCGGGCAGGAGGCACTGGGGGGAAAGCTGATTGGTTTCAGATAAAGTGGTTCAGTGATTTCTGAGAATGAGATTAGGGAAGTACGCTATTTTGCTAAAATTAAAAAAAAAAATCTTAACCATTTTGTTGAGAAGCTCTAGTGTCTCGAAGTATTGAAGATGTGGGTGCAGACATGTATTCAACTCAGCTCTGCGCACACCCAAGTCAGAGAAATTTGCCTAGCAGCACCTGTAGGGATGGTGCTCGCCCCCTCCCCTCATAACCCCTCTCATGGCTCCATAACGGCAGCGCCGCTCTGACCCCCCGCAGTGCCTTTGAACTGAAATCCCCAGCTGGAGACTCCTATGTGGAGAGGCAGAGGGTGGATCATGCAATACATATCTGCACCCACATCTTGAAGAGCAACAGTTACAATACAGGTAAGCAACTGTCTCTTCTTAGAGTGGTTGCAGAGTTGTATTCCACTCAGGTGACTCACAAGCAGTTCCAGCAGAAGGTGGGCTCAGAGTCTTTAAACAGTTAGTGCCCAGAAGTGCCTTCCCAAAATTTACATCCAATCTTGATGCCATGGTGATAGCGAAATGTCTAGCAAATGTATCCACAGAAGACCATTCAGCTCTGCAGATATCCACTGTTGAGACATCACTAAGCAATGGAGCAGATGTCGACTAAGCTCTGGTTCAATGAACCTCCAATGATTGTAGAGCCTAGAGGTGTCATCTACACTACATAAACCATGGTAATACAGAGGGTAATCCCCTTGGAAATGGTCTGCATGGAAACTAGTTGCCCCTTCATTCGCTCAGCATAGGACACAAAGATTCAAGGTGATAAACGAAATGGCTTATTTCTCTCTAAATAAAACACTAAGCACCACCTGACATCTAAGTTATGTAGATGCTGCTCCTTTGCACTTGAATGTGGTTTGGGAAAAAAATATAGGTAAGTAAATAACCTGATTAAAGTGAAACACAGATACCACTTCAGGAAAAAAAAAAAAAAAATGTATGTGTAGTCTTAAATACCACCTTGTCCTTGAAGAACTTAGTATACAGAGGTTCTGCCATTAAGAACTGCAACTCACTAACTCTTCCTGCAGATGTTATAACCACAAGGAAGGCCGTTTTCTGAGAGAGGAGAGCATGTGAACATGCTTCTACTGACTTAAATAGAGGACCCATCAGAACTGCCAGGACTATATTTAGGTCCCACAATGGTACTGTTTCTTTCACAGGTGGAAAAAGATGGATAACACCCTTAAAAAAAAATCTCACCATCATAGGGTGTGAGAATATCATCTTCACTTAAAACCATCTCCAACTACCTCTGAGCATTGCTCCTTCCCTTCATCTAGCTAGGCAGCCTCCATGCATTAAGGTGCAGACTGCTCAATGCTGGATAAACATCCTGGCCATGATGTTGAGTGAAAGTTTTGAGAGGTCAAACTGAGAGAGAGGGGAGATCAGAAAACCAACATTGCCTCAGCCATGTTGTCAGAAATGAGAATTAGTTTGTAGTAATCCAATGTGAGCATGAGGATAACCTGAGGAAACGGGGGAGGAAGGGGGCATACATCACGTTCCCTTCCCAGTTCTGATGAAAGGCATTGATAAAGAGTCCCTGGACTGTGTCCCTCTCAAGAACAGAATTGATGCCATTTTCTGTTGTCCTTTGTCACAAACAAGTCTGTGAAAGGGCTCCTCATTGCTAGAAAATGGACCTCAGCATACTGTTCTTTAGGGACCATTCATGGCTGTTTGAAAAAGACCTGCCGAGGTAATCAGGTAGTTGGTTCTGAGTGCCTGGTAAGCACGCCACTTTGGATACAATACCTTCCTCAATGCAAAGGTGCCAGAACTTTATTGCTGGTTGGAGTGTGCACCTGCCTGCTTGTTCACATAATACATTGCAGTGGTATAATCTGAGAATAAAAATCGCTGTCCTCCGGATGTGATCCCAAATAGCCTGACAGATATTCTATATTGCTCAAAGTTCTAGCAAGTTGATATGACAAAACTTCTTCTGACCACAAACTCTGAATTTTTAACATTCCTAGATGCGCTCCTCAACTTATTGTGGTGGCGTCACTAACTACTGTCTCGATCAGCGAAGGGCAGGCAAAGAAGACTCTTGACACACACGGTTGTATTCCATTCACCATTGTAAAGAGCGCAGTGTCTCTGGGAGCACCTGGACGAGGGTGTCCATTGGCTGGCAACTCAGGCAATTGACTAACTTTAGCCACCACTGAACAGGACGAGGGTGCGGGCGTAAGCTCTCATGTTGCACTATGTACATGCATATAGCCATATGACCCAGTGACCTCAGGCATACTTGGATTGTGCTCAGAGGGTGCAAACTGGAGATCCTGACAAAGGTGCTGAATTGCCTGGAACCATTTGGATTGGAGAAATGCCCTCGAATTCATAGACTCCATCAGGGCTCCAATGAACTTGATTTTTTGAATTGACTTCAAAGCTGATTTACCCCTGTTTAAGATCAGACTCCACCGATAGAAAAGGTTGAGCGTGAACCTGAAATGATTGAGGACCTGTTCC